GTTTTCTTAATAATCTGTACTGTCATTTGGGGGCTGAGGGTGAGATTGTACATGTCATTAATACCATCCGGGGAACATGCTTTATGCTTCCTACACTTTCTTCTTTTTTGTAAACACATGCAACCATTCTATAACACTGGACTCATTTTTCCACTAAGGTTTGAACTTTGAGAGTTTAAACAAGAGAGAAAAGTGTGGAAATGTTCATGTCTGTCTGAGAAAAGTGTGTAGTGAGGGGTTTTACAGCCTTAAAACATCTATAATAATTGTAAAAAATAAAGCTGGCTACTTCAGATTTCAGCTATGGCGGGTTATTTTTAGAACGTAACTCCCGCCATAAATGAAGGACCACTGTACACAGCCTCTTAATGTGACCAATATCTTTTTACAAAAGACGCAGGTGACCATTTTTAGTATTTAAAAAGTTTGCCCGTGCTTTTCAGCTGAACTAGCATGCTAGCGCTAAGTTATCAAGTATTAGTCTAAATATCAACTGGTGCTAGTGACGTTTTGGTCTCGAAAAAAGTAGCCTAGATGTTAAACTTACCGTGCAAACTTTCAGATGAACCACAGATCGCATATTTGTGATTTGTCCTAAAAACGTCCTTGGTAAAAGCTCGACGTTTTCTGTTCTCTCTCCACTCTGCAGACTGTGCACGCTGCTGGTTCGTTAGCTGTAGCCGTGAACTAGCAGCTCTTCTCCCGCTCCTCCCGCCCTCACGTCATTATCCAATCAGAGACGAGCTACAGATGCACATTCAAAATTAGGCGCACTCAGTGTTATGGCAAATGCAGATGGACCCAGGGAGCAGAACGCACGGAGGCAGAGTTGCGGTGAAGACAGTTTATTTACAGTGATGGGGAGGTTTTACAAGGACAAAGTATGTACAATAGCGTATGAATGGGGACGCGGAGCCAGGACGTGCAGGTGACGGAAACACACACAGGTAGTGCACTCGATCTAAAAAAATGATAACCGATAACCGAGAAAAGCTTAAAGTAGACTTTACAGAGAGCTTACTTGGTACTGTTTATTGCCAAAACCTCCAGACGAGGCGAAATCCTGGGGAGGAAACAAAACTTCTTACAGTCACCAGAAATAATCCAACGGCTCCAGCAGGCAGGGGCAGAATTACAGACTCTCCAAAAACGTCAATACTCGGACACTAGTCTTCTGTCAGGTAGCTCCTAAAGAACACTTCTGAAGAATGCAGCTGATGAGTAACAGGTGTGCCAGGTTCAGTGACTCACTGCCCCGCCTACCTATACAAAAAGGGAGGCACCAAAAACACATACAGACAAAAACACCACATAACCAGAACCCAACTCCTAACACTCAGTGCAGGCTACAGTAGCCTACAGCTCTGTGGAGAGGAGGCACCATAGACATCCTATGGAAGGCACTGTTAGTGTCATGGTCTGGGTGGGTACCTGCAGGTCTCCAACAGCAGTATAGCACCATCTTCATGCACCATGGCTACTTCACCTGTCCCTCCTGCACTTTCTTGCTCATTGTGTCAGATGTTTAGTTACTCCTCGGCCTCCTTTAGCAGTAATGATATCTGTAACAAATGTAGCATATTTGCAGCGCTGGAGGCCAGGATTACTGAATTGGAGACTCGGCTTCGCACCCTTCATTCACCCGTAGCTAGCCAGGCCCCTGTAGCTGGTGCAGCCGAAGATAGCGTAGGCCCCGCTAGCTGTTCCCCGGCAGACCCCAAGCAGCTGGGGAAAGAGGGCGGCTGGGTCACGGTGAGGAGGAAGCATAGTCCTAAACAGAAGCCCCAGGTACACCACCAACCCGTTCATGTGTCTAACCGTTTTTCCCCACTCGGCGACACACCCGCCGGGGGTCAAACTCTGGTAATTGGTGATTCTGTTCTCAGACATGTGAAGCTAGAGACACCGGCAGGGGCCAGAGCAGGCGACATTGAAGGAAATTTAAAACTGCTGGCTAAGGGTAAACGTAAATTCAGTAAGATCATAATTCACGTCGGCAGTAATGACACCCGGTTACGCCAATCGGAGGTCACTAAAATCAATATTGAATCGGTGTGCAACTTTGCCAAAACAATGTCGGACTCTGTAGTTTTCTCTGGTCCCCTCCCCAATCAGACCAGGAGTGACATGTTTAGCCGCATGTTCTCCTTAAATTGCTGGCTGTCTGAGTGGTGTCCCAGAAACGATGTGGGCTTCATAGATAATTGGCAAACCTTCTGGAGGAAACCTGGTCTTGTTAGGAGAGACGGCATCCATCCCACTTTGGATGGAGCAGCTCTCATTTCTAGAAATATGGACAAATTTATTAAACCCCCCAAAATATGACTATCCAGAGTTGGGACCAGGAAGCAGAGTTGCAGTCTTACACGCCTCTCTGCAGCTTCTCTCCTCCTGCTACCCCCCCAAAAACCCATCTCCATAGAGACTGTGTCAGCTCCCAAACAGACAAAAAACAAACTAAAAACCAGCAACAAACAACTTAAACATAAACAATCACAAAGAAAGAACAATACAGTATCCACATCTGAACCAAAGAGTAAAACAGTGAAATGTGGATTATTAAATATTAGGTCTCTCTCCTCCAAGTCTCTGTTAGTACATGACTTAATAATTGATCAACAAATTGATTTACTCTGCCTTACAGAAACCTGGTTGCAGCAGGATGATTATGTTAGTTTAAATGAATCAACACCCCCGAGTCATTCTAACTACCAGAAACCTCGAAGCACAGGCCGAGGGGGCGGTGTGGCAGCAATTTCTCACACCAGCCTATTATATGAGGGGCAGACAGAAATGTAAAGGGGCACATGGTGGCAGCTGAGGCGAATGTGGGGTGCTCTGAATAACTGTTTTTGTCATGTAATTGGATTGCACTTTGTCAAACCTCTACCCTAAAACCTGACCAACTTGGGTGTCCCCCCTGAAGGCTCAGCTTCTGCAGGTCTAGATCTTAGTGTCACTGAGGCACACAAACCCCCTGACCACGTTAAGGTGGCAATCACTCAGGAGGAAAACTGAAAAACAAAATAAAAAATAATAAAATAAAATATTGCTCATCAGATTCTACCAACTACCTTAATTAGATGCCCTATGTTAAATACATTTGAATCCAACCATAGTACTTCTCACTATTGCCAATATTAACAAAACTAAAAAGGGTAGGCCAAGTTATGAAAAAAGGGCACTTCTCCAACTCTTGAAAAATAGAAATAAAAAATACATTAAAATATCCATCCAGTTCTTTAAAACCAACAACATAAAATCTATCTTAATTTGATTGCCTAAGTAAAGTATCAAATCAATTTTATTTATATAGCACTTTTACATTATACATGCTTCCCTTAGGCAGCATCATTAGAAGACATAGCATACATTTACACTGCTATGCAGATGACACCCAGCTCTATCTGTCCATGAAGCCAGATAACACACACCAATGAGTTAAACTGCAGGAATGTCTTAAAGACATAAAGACCTGGATGGCCGCTAACTTTCTGCTTCTTAATTCAGATCAAACTGAGGTTATTGTACTCGGCCCTGAAAAGCTTAGAAATATGGTATCTAACCAGATTCTTACTCTGGATGGCATTACCTTGGCCTCCAGTAACGCTGTGAGGAACCTTGGAGTCATTTTTGACCAGGACATGTCCTTCAACGCACATATTAAACAAATATGTAAGACTGCGTTCTTCCATTTGCGCAACATCTAAATCTGAGTTCTGCTGGAGGTTTCTTCCTGTTAAAAGGGAGTTTTTCCTTCCACTGTCGCCAAAGTGCTTGCTCATAGGGGGTCATATTGATTGTTTTTCTCTCTGTATGTATTACTATAGGGTCTACCGCACAGTATAAAGCGCCTTGAGGCGACTGTTGTTGTGATTTAGTGATGTATAAATAAAATTGAATTGAATTGAATGGCTCATCGGGCTTTTCTTTCTCTGCAGATGTCAAACCTTCAGCCTCGAGGTCAGTGAAGGTTCAGCTGAGGGTGGGATCTGCAGACCTGAACGACCCCACAGTGCAAGAATCCATCCTGCAGCAGGTCAGAGGTCACACACGGGCCCCGATACAAGGAACAGACCGCTATAACTACTGTGAAATGATAGAGAGCAGTGAGTCTGTGCAGGTTCAGGGACACGTGACAGCACACAGCTGCAGAGATACGGGGCTCGTTTAATGCAATCCCATCCATTTGTATTATTTAACCTTTTTTAACTGGTAACTTGAAGAAGTCACTTAATTTCAGATTGCTGTGAGGAGACGACGTGAACCAATGACAGGCAATGAGGCCTAATTCCAGACTCCAGTTTCATCCCCAGCCAGTTCATTTAGTTCATTTCCCCCAGAAACAGCACGAACAACGTTTTCTGCTCACTACAGAAACAACGGCTGATTAATGAGGAGCTTCTGTTAATGTGTGAAAACTGTGTTTCAGGTGAGGGAGAAGCTGGTGGAGCAAGGGATCAGAGAGGAGGTGAAGCTGAGGTGGAGGACGCAGCCTGATGGGAAGGTTTTCCACAGAGAGGAGGAGACAGCCGCTTACTGTGAGAAGGAAGACTGTGGCGGTTTAGTCTGAACGTTATTGGCTGATGTTCCTCAGGTGATCTGCTGTGTAATTCAACTTATTTCCATCTCTGTACTCTGACTGCTGGACTGTAACAGCGTAGCTTTGCATGACTGACAGTTGGAAATCATCCTTCTTTATCCTAAGCTCAGATCAGAGTGTCTGATGAGCTGTTTTATGCCTCTTTGTTTCTTCTGATTGGTGAAGCTAAAGTTTGCAGGTGAGCAGGTGAGCGGACCTTCTGTGTCTCAGATATAAATGTTCATGATATCCTGTCTCTACATATGAAAGTTCAAGAGGAGAAAAAGGTGAAACTGAGTGTTCAGAGCAGCCTGATGTCTGAGCTTTTTGACTTCATACTTTATAGTTCAAATGAGCACCCAGCAATATAACAGTAGATATGCCGTATATGTCAGTGAATCGGGCATTTATGCTCTCT